CACTGAACGTGCATTCACTCGAAGCAAGCGATTTCTCTGCGAACAGCCAATGCGGATGACGGTTGTTTGCAACAACTCGCGATTCTCCTTCTTTTTTACAGCGTTGTATCTGCAGTCCTGCTCTCGGAACTCATGTGAGCCACTGACCCTCTAGTTCGCATGAACATGGTATGCATATTTGAGTTTTAAATAGAAATCATCACAAGTAAATACAGCAAGGCACCTCTGAAAATCCGGTATATCTTCGGGTTATCGATGATTTTTGTAGGAGCTTGTCGTTAGTGCGCGTTCCCTCAGCTTGTTGAGAGACCCGAAGCAGTCCCCGATCTTGCAAACAGAAACTCATGAGCCAAGGAGACCCACATTACTGGTGAGTTCCAAGAGGACGAAACGACTGCCAAATGCTCTTCTGAGTGTTGCTAGGAGCCCGATTGAATCCAGTTGTGACAAGTTAAAATAAAGTCCACGGGGCTATTGTCCCGTTGGAGATGGAATCATTTTTGCTCTGAATAAGGACCTTCGCACAATTGATATAAATTTATGTGTCGGAATAATGAGTAATTACCTGCCTTTTTGGTGAAACGCCTCTCCAGATGATAGCGTGCAGAAGGACACACTGATCTACGACTCGAACACTCTTTTCAATACTTGAGTATGGGACTGTTCTAACAGCGGGCACAAAGTGGACATGCCGTCTGCTCTCTGTACTTTCATGCGCGTGCATCTTCTTGCTTTGGTGAGGATTCATAATCCTCCATTGTTGCTCTCTGTCCATCCACACGTGTTTGCTTTACCGATTGCTTCGCAACTGTGTACCACACACTGGCTGTGCTCTAGTCAGTGTCGTATTTGTCACCAATCGTCACTGCAACCTTTCCACATTAGATAGCCTCGCAACCTCTTCCACTATGCAGCGCACTTTTCAAACCGCAATACCTGCTCACATTATCTCTGATTTTATCTGTTCCAAATATATCGACCCCTAAGTATTGTCTGCTCTGCGCACACTTCTTAAGTGGAGAATCCCATAGCTTAGACACTGTCCGGCACGATTTGACTGGACTATTGCATTCGTTTCCTTTCCGTAACCCACCACTCCTTTCATCCTTTGATTTAGGCTTTCATTTGTCAACCTTTTCCCCTCTATTTTTGTCGATTTCTACTACTATAACAACGTGACTGAAGGAAAATTGACCAGACTCACAGGAGTGCTGAAATCATTTTCGCACAACCGAACCGAATTGCATAGGAGATGCATCTTGTGCCATATCCTCTATGCTAGATTGTTTCGGTAGCGTCACCATTCTACCCGAAAGCGTTGATTTTCTATCATCGCTTTCCGCTTACTTTGCATGCTGTTAGTGGGTACCTTCTCACGCCGCCTTGCAGTGAATCTATTATTGGTTCTTTCATCCTTTCTGTGTGCATCTTCCACATGGTGTAATGCATCACTCAGACGATACAACTTTTATCCTTTCCTGACCACACTATCGAATGCGACATAACTGCGCGTCGCTTCTGTGAATTCTCGACGATAGGCCTTGATCTTCGACACCACCCGCCTGTTCCATAATTCTTTATTTAACCTCTCTGTTATGACGGCGTTTCGACTCACTCCTTCCACCATGATCACTGGTTAGATGTCGGAAAATAGTATCACTATCCTTCACTTTGGTGATTGGGGGTGAAGTGGATGACTCTAATCCATTGGAACTCAGCTCATAAGCTCAAGGCGGTTGGAGTAAAGCCGAAGCACTAAGCACAGTGCGGTGGACGCAGAGACGAAGCACCGCTAGTTTCCTCTGAATGTAGATGAGCTCATTTGTTGCTCACCGATTTGTTAATGGCTACTCCAACCTAGTCAGTCTCCAAGCGCCTTTTATCTCATTATTGTCACCGCTTATTACCGAAACTTGTGTTTTCCTTTCTACTGCATGCATTGCAGTTCTCGTCTCCTTTACATTATTTTCGCTCGTGACCGATGCATTACTTTTCGTTTAACTGACTGATCACGCCAAATGAGATGTGTCGCACCAAATCGAGATTCTACTTCCTTGTCTGGTTATTTTAACCATCGTTTATTTTCGGAATTCCTTTGTACCATTTCGTCGAACTAACAATCCAGGCCGTGTTTCACACTGTCGAGAAATAAACTATCTATTTATTTGTGACCATGGGAAGCTATCCAGAATCCATTGTGATTTTTGCCTTCTTGATCAAAGCGGTTTTACTCTTTTTGCGCGTTTCACCTGTTTCGTATTCTATTGTCCAGTTGGCTGATTGATACCTTTGGGGTTTGGGGCCAACACTACGCTTATGTTATCAAGGAATACACTCGTATTATTCAGCTTCTAATCGGATACCATGATCATTGCGAGCCACTTCTTTGCTCACCTGTCTTTTGCCTTCAGCATCCAGGACATCTGCGGTACTAAGCCGATCCACCACTGCCACTCTCGATTAACGTCAGCTCGATATGTTGGATTATCTCAGGTACCCTGGCCGCTCGCTTATCACTAATGACTATACTGTTAAACTGTTTGATTCTGTTGTAACGCTGCCCTTCGCCTCTCTGCTCTGTCTGTCTCCCTGCGCTACCAACCAGCCGGGGAAAACAAAACGCTGAGCCTGCTAGACCGAAGTATCTTAGGCACAAAACATGGCTACTTTTATACGTCACATGCGCTTACCTCGCCTCTATCACTGAGGTGAGTCACACCGCTTGTCCGAACATATTCGACTCTGGTAGCGGCCATCTCTCTCTGACTGTAGGTAGGATCACGTCCGCAACGTAGCAACCCGTGCGGCGACGACGGTCTGATTTCGTCAGCTTCCGGTTTGACCATGACAACGAGGCTGTCAGCCGCTCACGTGATCTGGCCGATCTCGCCCCGCTAGTGTGCACCATCGTAGTCAGCTGTTTCGCCTCCGTAACACCTCCGAATTGAAACTGCTTCCCCACCATGCGTACTTGCGTCAGTTCAGCTTTCTTTGTTTTGACATCAGTCAGTTGTTCTGGTGGTTTTCTTCTCCTTCTGGCCGCTCTTCGATATATGTTGTTTTCGGGCCCTTGTGTTTTTCCGTGGTTCGGTCTCCGCTGATCTGCGTGCCTGATCCATTTCTTGTTTCTAACCGTTTGTTCGTAATTGACTCCACCATTTCTGCGGATCACCCTTCCTCTTGAACACCACTTCGGTCCTCGGAGCTCTCGCGCGTACCCCCTGTCACTTATTCTGAAATGACGCATCCTGTCTGTTCGGTTTTTCCCCGCATGACAACTGCAATGCTTTTCTTTCCTGATTAGCACAACGCGTTTTGCTATGGATACTGGTTTAGTGGCTGGCTTGAAGTTCAGGGCAGCACTGGTAATTCTGCAGCAATCTGGAACAGGTTGGAGCATTGCATCGTGGCGTCTATTCCTCTGTGCAATCTGACTGCCATTGATTTCTGTCGTCGCACCCTTAAGTCTGATGGGCACATCTGATTCTGAAGTGGCAGTGTGGCAGAAGTTTCGCTCCTCCATAGCTTCTGAATTTGGGACCACATTTGCAGCAGGAGTCAATTTGAGCAACTTCTGACATTCTGAAACAATTTCTTGCGATGTCAATTTCATTTCCAGTTCCCATTCTACTTGAATGTTTAATTTTTGTGATAGCACTGCCATCAACTGCCTCTGTGACTTTTCGAACTGCGTCTGTTGCTCCTGCAAAAGTGCCTGCAATTGTTCAAAGCTGACTGCCATTTTGGGTTCGATTAAACTCTCGTCGCCAGTGTTGTGACGCTGCCCTTTTGCCTGTGTCTCTCTGAGGTACCAACCAACCGGGGAAAACAAAACGCTGAGCCTGCTAGACCGAAGTATCTTAGGCACAAAACATGACTACTATTATAGGTCACATGCACTTACCTCGCCTCCATCACTGAGGTGAGTCACATCGCTTGTCCGAACATATTCGACTCTGGTAGCGGCCATCTCTCTCTGACTGTAGGTAGGATCACGTCCGCAACGTAGCAACCCGTGCGGCGACGACGGTCTGATTTCGTCAGCTTCCGGTTTGACCATGACAACGAGGCTGTCAGCCGCTCACGTGATCTGGCCGATCTCGCCCCGCTAGTGTGCACCATCGTAGTCAGCTGTTTCGCCTCCGTAACAGATTCTTGCACAGAAAAGGCCCGTATGCTGTCACGTCATTACCTTCTGTGAAGATGGCGAACGCTGAACCCACCATTCATCTGTACGGTGTACAGCGATGTAGTTTGTTTATTCCCCCCAAATGAATCGACGATATGGCAGGTTCTTGCCGAGGACACCAGTGACTACCTGTTTAACAGCCCTTGCTCACGAAGCATGCTTATCCTTTCGCTAATGATAAGGTGCCAAGTTTCCTTGGTACTTCATTGCACCACTCGGTGATTCTACGAGACTCACATCCTCATATGAATGTACGCTACTCATTTCTCTGTACACCTTTTACCGCAAACTCACTTGGTTAGACGAATCGTGAACGCAGCTGGCTGGCGATGTAGCGGTTCACTATGATCCACTTGATTCTCTTATGCGGAAGCACCTTTATGCGTGCAGGCACGAAAACAACTAAATGGATTTTTTTTTGGTAGTGAACAATGTCTGACATGATGTCATCGAATGGTCACAGGCAATACTGTGTCCATTGTCCTTCCGTCCGTCGCCACAAATCGCTTTATTTTATTCTCTTTTGTTTGCTTTGTTCTCTCAAATTTCTGCGAAATTGTAGGCTACTCTAATACATCTCAATATGCGGAAACTAGGTGGACTTGCTGAGACTATTCAATGTGTCTGATTGCAACCTCTCGTCCGATGCTATTCAAATCACCTATTTGGCTGTCACCAAACGCTCTCCCGGCTTGTATTGCGCATGTGTATCACCATACTTCCCTTGCCGCTGAATGAAGGCGAGCGTATGGGTATGTTCTTCCGTTTCCTTTCACATTACCCCTTTGCTTTGGTCTAATTTTCCACCCAGGTGGAGAACGTCCTCTGCAACTGACCCATGGTGAAGTAGTGGCGATCGCGGTCGGCTGTGCCATCGCGTTGATCCTCGCCTTCATGAGCTGTGTCGTAGTTCGAAATTCCCGCAAAGAATCTCCGTTTCCAATGAACACTCATCTTCTGGGCCAGCGCGTTTAACCATCACATTGACCACACTCTCTTGTCCCACAGACCTCCTTTTTATTCACATCCATTGTACATTTTACAACATTTCCTCCCACCGTGTGTTTGCGTGTGATCTCTTTCCCCAATTTTTTTGATCCGACTACAATACCATGCGCATAATAGGCTTCATCTGTCCCCGAACACTTCTCATATTTTGCGTTTTATGTTTCTTACCATGTTATTCGTTTTTCGGTCTTTTTTATTATCTTACTTGGTGTTTCAAATCCGCTTGCCTCTTTCTACGTCAATCGTATCCCATCGCATTTGTGTTGCCGGCCATCTTTGGCAGCTCCACGATCTATTCGTATGTTGACTTTTACTTTAGTGATGATTTGCTCATTCTGACTGAATAAACACTGTTTCATGATCCATTTTATACACCCGAAAATCTGCACAGGCATACTTGACAAGTTTTGTTCATGTGCGCCTAGCGGATTAGCTCATGGATTTCAGAGACCAGGATTATTACCCGCATCCTTCTGCAAGCAGCTTGCCTTGGAAACCTCTTTGGACGGCTCGTCACCCTCAGTTTTCCTGTGTGGTAAGAATATCTGCATATTCCGATTGACTAACCTTGAACCTGCTACGATCTTTGAATGCGGATCCCCACATAATGTTCTGCATATCGCCTCACACCACGTTACAGCTCTGTTGTATGGTTCAATGTGACGTGCGGTTAATGCACGCAGCCAGTGCCCTGTGTCACGCACCTACCGACTGTGACGCTTGCGATTACGACCCCCAATTGTTTTCGCGTCACTGTTCTTGCCTCGTTTGCACGCGCCGTTATTCATTCATGGCGGTGAGGTCATCTACCAATCATTGACTCAGCTATGGAAGGAAGAGATGATCCCAGCCAACTGCAGTGAGTCGATCACGGTGACGATCTACTGCAAGAATAGCCACACCTTTTACAATAACCAAAAAAGATCTTGGCCTGAAGCTGGGAATGATAAAAATACGGGAGTCTCGGACAAAGGAAGGGTAAGGAGGTTTCCGTCCAACGCGGCAAGTGTTGGAACAGCGCCACACGTACCGTAGCCCGATAACGACTGTGTTCCTCGACCTCAAAAGGGCGTTTGACCCAATTGACTCGTTAATTCAGTTCGATGTACTTACTCCCATGACAATTTGTGCATATTTCACGTACCAATTACTCGATCACTACGGCGCGTTATCAAACCCTTTCCCGACAGCTTGCGGTTTTCGCCGGGGTTGTCCAATTTCCACACTTGGATTCATTTTTATCGTGGACCGCACCATGACGTGTTCCCTTGAGAAATCTCAAGATACAGAGATTGAGGTGCTGTCAGGTAGGAACACTGGATTATGTGCAAGAAGCGCTCTTTTGCACAATCGTAGGGCGATACGAACAACTCAAGAGAACTAGAGCGGTTCTATCTTTTGGCACCTTCAATATGCAATGCTTTTGTAAATCTACCGACGCTTTGATAACTCTAATTATCTTGGCAGTTGCATTGGTAGCGATGGGCGCGTAACCGTTGAAGTTGACTCACATATTGCGAAAGGTTGAAATACCATCTTGGATCTGCTACATTTGTGATGCCGGAAAGGGGTTCTCTCGATTTGAAAGGCCATAGGAGTGTGACTTGCTTCCTTCTGTCTGAGGATCTGGGGTGCCTACACACCTTGAAGCGTCTATCTGAGGAGCATTGCTGGCGTCGGATGGCACCGTCCTGTCCCCAGTAGTGGTGTGCACTGGCGAGTACTAAAATAAAAAGTAGTTTGTCAGCTGTACGCCGCAACGGCGCTTTGCTGCCGTGCGACCATCACCAGTCACACGCAGGCTGAGTACACCGCGAGGACGCCCACCCCTACACGCATTCGAGCCCGCGCCGCAAGATTGCGAGACCAGCTCGTTACCTTTAAGCTACGGGCCGACGAGTACTAGGCGGTGATAATCAGGTCATTTCTTTAGAACGGCTGATAACATTGAATACGTTGTGTTGATTTGGACACCTGTGTACGCCCACTCATCACTCCATAGGAGGGTTCGTTTTGTTTACCTTATGTTGTATGATGCAAGGCTCGAGGTGGGAAAAAGTTGACCTGGTGGCGCTTAATGAAACCGATGGCGACTGACCCTGTACTTGGCTCGAGACTTTACAGGATACGGCTGTCGACACCACTGACTCTTCTGATGTGGTCTTCTGCTCGAACTGTCTGATTCTAATTTGTGACTAGCTTTTCAAATAAAAATCATTGGTTATCCATTTTCTACTTGGAGTGTCCACTGCACATTTCACTTCCTACACACAATTTCAATGTGTATACCGATTTATTTCATAATGGACTTTGGCCCTTTCGATCACTAGACCGCATCTGTCGTAGATCGAATTGCATGAAACGTGCCCGCATACGATCACTATCAGTTGTTCGCGGTGTACATATAAATATTTCGAACCGTCTTTCGACGTTTAAGTGAGTATGCTTGAAACATGACGATGACGCCGCTTGCCTCATTTGGACCTGTTTTAGAACTCCCTGTCGCTTGGCCTGCTCATGTTTATACACCGCCTCTCTCCATAGTTCCTGTCCCGCTAGGGTAGAAACCGAAGTTGAAGGTACTATCAAAGTGCGTAACCGAGCAGATTCGTTTCCGCCCCTCCTTTCTTTTTTTCCACACACAATCTTACTTGTGCACGCTGGGTTGTGAGCACCCCAGCACCATGCGCGAGGTCACACCTTTTGGTCGCAGGTTGTGGGTGGTGCGGTCACCGGTTGATAATCAGGCTGTTTTCAACATATTCAAAGAGAATTTCACGTGCTATGACATTGAGCATTTTTTGTTCTTAATGATTCCAGCAGTCGAGATCGACAAGCGAACACCGTAATAAAGTTTGCTATCTTCGATAGTTCAATAGTGTATGATGGGATAAAAAGCATAACTTTACAAGACCCACAGAATGAATATGCAAAACAAGTTAAACTCAAAATTTCCAAAGCACAAACGTGACTTATCAATGGTTAAGCCATTGCACCTTAGCAAACTGTTGTGTAGCGTTTATCACTAAGGTGATAGGCTAGTAGTTTTTCAAATATTATGATGTCTGATGCGTTCACCACATGTGTTGGTAGTGCATTCCATTGTGGACAGATTCTAAGAGAGTAAAAATACTTCCTACGATCCAAACTGGAGTGTTGTGTTACTACTTTCAGTAGGTGGCTTCGGCATTATTCGTAAGGGGTTTTGGTCAGCAGTAATGTACATGGGTGCTCGCTCTCAATATCCGGCATGTGAGAATGAGATCTCCGCGAAACCGTCGGCGTTCTGAAGAGAACCGGCCGATTAAACGAGGGCGCAGTTCGTAACCGGGACCGGATAGTCCAAGCGTTGCCTTTGTGACTCTTCTTTGGGGTTGTTCCAATAGGCGAAGGTCTCGTTTTAACCATGGACACCAGGCCTGAATTGCATATTCAACGTGAGGACGAGTATACGAGTCAATTAACTGTGGTACTAGACGTCACTCAAAGTTGCTCGAGAGCTCGCATCATAAGCCTCAAGTTCCATTTCGCCACATTTGCTGCTTTCGAACATTGAAGGGAATTGCCAACACTTGTACGATGATACCTAAGTCTCGTTCATTAGTCACGTGTTACCCCAAAAGTTGTGTTGAAGCTACTACACACGGTCAGCAGGTGGCACTTTACAGGGTTCAGTGGGAGCTGGTTCCTCTCTGCACATTTTTAATCCGATCCAGGTCGTTCTGGAGCTAGGCACGGTCGGATACTGAACGAATTGCTCTCCATCTTTTAGCTTCGTCTGTAAATATTTGGATCAAGGGGTTGAAAATGTGCTAGAAGGTCATTGATGTAAATTACAAACAGTAGCGGGCCGAGGACGGATCCTTGCTATACACCACTGGAGGCGCACAGGCTTTCGCAGTGAGTGTCGACTTTTCTTACCTTGATAATTCGGTCGTGTAAGTAGCCTTCCAAGCAGGGGACCGCTGATGCCATAGGCAGCAAGCTTGTGGAAGAAAGTGAAGTGATTGACTCTGCCGAATGTCTTGGAAATGTCTAAGTAAATCACATCTGTGGGGCCTCCATCAGCTGCCCTAGTCCATGAGTGTTGAGTAAGTTGCAGATGGAAGAGGCAAGATCGTCTACGTCTGAAATCATGGACGTTAGAATTTATTTGCAGATTTTCGTAATATCGCATCTGTTCATCTGCGATTACCGATTCCATCACTTTTGCTAAAACAGGAAGGAGAGTAATAGGTCGGCAGTTGGCAGGATCCGGTCGCTTACATCCTTTGTATATCCGATTGGTAATTCCATTTTTCCACTCAGATGGGAGAGTTAAGCAGACCCAGGAAAAAGGTTGCAAGTGGTGCTGCTATGTTGAGAGAAAGGGTTTTCAGTACTTTTGGACAGATCATGTCGATTCCAGGGGCACTGTACTCCCGGAGAGACTGTAATTTGCTTGCAACAGCTGCTGGATTAATGGTGACGCTGGATAAGCCCACGACTTTTGTTGGCAGGTGATAGGGCGAAGTTTCCATGATATTTGTAGCCACTAAGTCAAACTGCAGGGGCAGAACGTTCGCGGTATCCACAACAGTAGTCGTTAGACCACTGGTGGTCTTGTGTGGTGATATTCCATGCTTAACCTTTCTTTTATCATCCACACACCCGTATAGCAGCTTGTTGTTATTCGCAAACTTGAGTACCATTGTCTCCTGCCATCCGTACTTATCTGTCCTAATAAATGACGTATAGAAGTTTCTGATTGTTTTGTAGTTCCGCCATGAGGTATCACATGGGCTTAGCGTATGTTGCCTCCAGATCTCATCTCTTCTGTTTATCCAATTACGTGTTCTACTTTGGACCCAACTGTTTCTCCGGCGTGATACCCGTAATGGTACCACTTTTGTGGTTGGTTTTATGACCCAGTTCATTTTATCTTTCACTTCATTCCATGCATCTTTTGCCGAACTGTGAGGTTGGAGGTTCCAGTCAACGGTTGTCGCTAAGTTATGAAGCTTAGAATAGTCTGTAATAGTTCGCTGAGTTTCTCGTTCTTTATCAACTATACTGGTGTAATACACATAACCAATCTTTAGGAGCGAATTGTCACTGCGGCCCCGTTGGAGGGTGATATTTTACTGACTTAAATATTAACTCTTCATTAGTGATTAGTAAGCTTAGTAGTGATAGCTCACTTGAACCGCGGTGTCTGGTTGGTCGATCGATGCACATGCTTATACGAAATTGCTATATCCATGAATTTGATTTGAATAATGACCAACTGAAGAACATTGATGCTATAGTGAAGGTACATTGAAGTCGCCCACTAAAGGATATTGAGAGTGTTCTTATGAAACAGCACCTTTCTACACTGATTG